ATAATGTTACGCTATGCGGCATCGTGCACGTAGCCTTGTGCAGTTTGCACGTATTAGTGGTTAGCCATAATGTCAAGCTGCCGCTCCTCGCCTGGCCTGATAATGTGACGGGTGCGCCGTGACGTCATTAGTTAGACCTAGCATCGGCACTCCCAACTCTGCCGTGCCTTCCTCTCCCGTGTGTCTCCAAAAGATGTGATTTATTTCTGACTCATGTTTCATCTTCGTCTCGTATATGTGTTAACATCGCCTTTTCGGGAATGATGTGCTCCATTCGACCTCTCAACATTTGTGCTCCATTTAAATTTACACTGATAATTAGGGTGAGTGTATATTTTTCTCAATCTGATATTGCGCGTCATGTGTATAAATGTTCAGCGTGCTCAATCCGCACACAAATAAACTCCTCAGAGGCAAAGCATAGATGTCTACTTATATTTATTCTGACTTCATGCTGAATCCATTATGTCGTCAGTAGGCGCCCTTATATGTTGGTAGCATCGCCTTGGCCAGATTGCTCCATCGACCTCAACATGGAAGCTCCATCTAAATTACACTGATCACTATACTTTCATTGTTATATTCTACACATGACGCGAATGATAATTGAGAAAATATACATAATTATTATCAAGTGTAAATTTTCATGCTTGCCGTAGCACATCGTTGAACGTGTACGATGGGCCACATCTCCAAGGAACATGTACACATATAGGCTCCTACTGACACATAATGATTAACGATTGAGTTCAGAAATAAATACTGTAAAATCCCAATGGCTAAATCTTCTCTCCTGCAGGAGTATATTTTGGTCTTGCTATTTACAGCATGATCAATTGCTTATTACACCTTATGGATCCATTCTTCTCTCTCGCTCGCTCGTAACTTGATACTTGCATGACAATCACTCTCTCCCTTAGTGACATTATATTATTCAGCTTTGCGCTCTTGTAACGTCTATGTGAGGTCACGACGTCCGCTTCGCACTTCTCTCACTAACTCTTCTCTCCGCACCTGAGCTCGAACTGTTCTCTCCTCGTGTTGTGAGGTCTTCCGATTGTCCCACGACTTTCCTCCATAGGGCCTGCATGCAGTACCAATTCGTCTCCTTCTCACGGCCGCCGCACTTAATGATTGACCATAGAGTCAGAAATAAATATGTAACATCAATGTTTCAATATAGGGTAGCATCCTATACATCAGTATATACTACGTCTCTTCTCTCTCTCTCTCTCTCTCTGCTCGCTCTCTCTCTCTCTCCTTGCGCCGGCCTCTCTCTCTCTCTCTCTCTCTCTCTCTGCTCTCTGCTCTCTCTTCTCTCTCTCTCTCGTCTCTCCGTCTCTCTCTCTTCTCTCTCTCTCGCTCGCGCATCTCTCGTTCTCGCGCTTCTCTCTCTCCTCTCCGCTCGCTCTCGTCTCACTCGCCGCCTCTCTCCCTCTTAGCTATTACGTTTCTTTTCTAGCACTCCTCACTGTGTCTGTCTCTCTATCTGTGGCTCTGCTGTGCTGGTTGCGTGCCGTCACTTGCTTGGGACCTGCGCTTGCAAACACAGGTGTAAACAGAGGGGGTACGATATGTGTGTGCTGTAGCGTAAGCGCGTGGTGCGGGCGGACTTGATCTGCTTGCCAACGAGTTTGCCACAAGTTCTGGCCTACATCACGCGCGACGAGGTCTAAGTCACGTGGACTTGGAAACGACAACATTCAACATGGCCGCTTTTTGCGCGCATGGTTTGTAATTTGAAATGTTTACTTTGTACTCTCGAAATCGTTTGCCCTCCTCATCATGTCATTGTTACATATCATCGATCATTTATTGCTGATTCGGGGATTATATAATTGTCAATTATGATTTTAAATATCCGATAGGGCCTAGGCGTATTCTGTAACTAGTACGGTATGGGGACTCGGGAGCAATTTAGGTTTAGGTTTAGCTCACAGGCACATTGGACCGTTTCAATAATAAAATGATGGTAATAAGATACAACTTTCAGTAGCTACCTACGTAGCAGTACGCAATTAGTCTTAATGTTGATTTGACCTTAAACTTCACTTCAACACCGTTCAAATACACCGCCTGCAACACATAGCGCCGCACGCCATTTGTCGCATGCACAAATACACAGTACGGTACGAACTACTACCTAGGAACTCCTAGGTAGAAGGAGCTAGTAGGTGAGGAACTGCCTACCTTACTGGCTGTATTTGGTAGCTATGCAAATGAGCCGTGGCGGGCTTATGGTTTGCAGCGGGCGTCTGTTTTGAACGGCTGATTGAAGTGAGAGCTTATTTAAGGTCAAATCAAACATTAGAGACTATTGCTGGTACTTGTAGTAGTAGGCTACTGACAATGTTGTATTTATTAACATCATTTTATTTATTGGGAAAACCGGTCAAGTGCTGTGGTTTTAGCTATAATGTTACAGTAGATAGCTTAGATACAATCAGGAGTATCAACACTTATACTTGATAGACTCCTGATACAATAACTAGTCAACCCAATCCCCCTATCTCTCTATTCTGTGTTTGGGTTACATTATTGTACCCTATCTAAGGTTTAGCAACCGCTCTCGGTCCAAGTCTATTTTTGTGTAGCTCTACAGACTACAGGACAAGTCAGGTGTAGCCGCCTCGCTCCTCCTGCTCCCCTGTAGCGGGAGCGAAGTGTCTACGCTGGTAGAGCTAGTAGTAGTAATAATTTGCAAGGCTTAGTTTGTTATTTTATATTCAATAATCATGATTTAGTAATAGTAACGCAACAGATTTTAATAGCCAGTTAGACTGTTAAATGTTAGGATTGTGTTACAGACTTACAGTGCCCGATTTGGTTACCCCATTCGGTTAGATATCCCTAAACTCTGTTCGTTTTGCATCATTATTGCCCAATATTGGGCCCCATCTATATGGGGTACCCCGATATGGGGGTACCCCGTGCGATCAATCAAGAAGTATATGTATGTAATCAACCTTCTTTATAAATTATACGCTCTTGTCTTGATGTAATCCATAGTTTACATACATGTATAGCCCTACTGTTACAGCCTCGCTCTTCCATTCGCATACAGGCATTCGCTCTGCTATTCGCTAAGATATTGTCTATACTAACTATGTAAATTTTAAATTTATACTTATAGCTAGAATGTAGACTTGCCTCCTAAGCTGTCTAACCTTATATGTACTCATACGACTTGACTTGTTCCAATCACACAGCTCTAGAACTACAGTGGGTGGAGCACCGATTTTATGGGCACCGATTTAATGTGAATTCGAATATAACGCGATGAGTCGTTGGACCCCTTTTTTGCTCTTTTTTATTATTTATTTATTTAGTCAATTATCCATCACATACAATACATAGCATACTTTTACAATACAATTCTGGCTTAAAATTGGATAACTACCAAGGATATATACAAAAAGCATGACTAACACACTTATTTACATTGTGGTCCTTGTTTTGCTATGTCTTAAATCTATCAATTACACTACTATCAGCACTAACTATTCAAATATACAAATTTGTAATTTCTTATTTGTTCTAATTTGTTTTTATATAGCCCACATATATATAACCTTGATTTAGCGTGATCCTGTTTTTTAAGCAATGATGTTTGATAGACATCACATTATAACGGGGCTACACTGCTTATAGCCCTTCGCTCCGCGGCCTGTGGGGGAGCGAAGAGCTATAGAACTTCTAGAGCTAAATCACACAGTCCATTGCATTTGTTAATATATTCAGAATTGGCTCATATCATTCAAAAGTTTTAAATTGTAGTTTGGATTGTTAAAGCCTCACAATGCGCATCCAAACGCTGAAATTTCTCCAGTACTAGACTAGCAACTACTTGTGCATGCATAATTCACACTACTTATGACAAAATAAACTCTAGTTCCTCCATTTGACTGCGCGTTCCCACAAGAAAGAGGTGCCGAAATCAGGTAATCAGACGCCAACGCTAACTTGTTTCAAACAAGCATAACATCGACTTGGTTTGTGACGTCACATGTTTTTATCTTTGCTGCGCCCGCTACCGCTGTACCGCGCCACCGCTGCACGGATTGCTTGGAGATTGGGGAAACTGTCAACAACATCGGAGAATTTCAACAACATTGGAGGTATTTTCAAAATACCTTTTATAAGACAACGCGCAGTGAAATTGGAGGAGCTAGAGTTTATTTTGTCATAAGGTAGTGTGATTATTCATGCCACGAGTATTTGCTAGTCTAGTACTGTAGAAATTCGCGTTTGGATGCACATTGTGAGGCTTTAAATGATAATGTAAACACAAAAGTCAATAGCGCAATGTCAGACGTGGGAGAGCACAATTCATGGGATTTTCATAAGTGTTGACAGTTTTGAAAGATTTGATTGTCATAATTTGATCATTGTTTATCTAGCTAGTCTATGCTGAAAGTAGATGAAATAGACATGTATTCGATCACCGAAGCTTCACAGAAGATGCAAAAGCCGCAAAAGGAGAAAGCGAGTTTTCCACAACATTCGCAACATAACCATAAATAGAGGTATTCAAACATTAGAACTCATTTAGACTTGCTACATGTCTTTTACCGATATTCAATTATTATTTAATTGTATACATTTCAATATTGAGGGGTGAAACGAAAAGTACATTTTATAATTACGGAATATGAACATCTACTAACACTACAGGTGCGAAATAACGCGAGCCGGAGTCAAATACTCCCCCATTTACTCTCGTACTCCCTGATTTGACATATATGCAGTTAGTCGTGTGACTCCCTGAAACTTCTGCTATACTAACTAGTTCTTTCCAGAGCACGGCGTCGTGGAATTACCATATTTTTCCAGCAAATGTCCAAAGAAAATTTGGCAGACGTGCAACCGCATGAATCTTCAAAATAAGACATGCATTATTAGTTTGTATCTTTAGTTTGAACTTCTGAACTCGCGACTCCCTCTTTTTGAGGCAGGGAGTCTGTTGGACTCCCTTGTTCAAAAGTTAATTTCTACCCCTGTACTATGTGTAATACAGTATCAGTTTGTAATATCAACTGGGTAATGGGTGTATGTGTTTAAAATTCATGATGGTTTTTAGGTTGTCCGCATTTTAGTTAATTATAAATTTACAATTTAGTTTGATATGTTGGAAATTCAGTAATTTCTCCATAATGTGTAAGATTCTATATAATCTAATATATATCTGGAATATGTAGAAACTTATACATTATGGAAAAATGAATGAATTTTTAACATATCAAACTAAATTTGACATGTATATAACATACCAGGAGTAGAAATTAGTTTGAAAATGGCCTGTAGGTAAGGATTTTATAGCCTGCCAGGCAAATTATAGGCCCGCCATCATTCCCCGCGATACCGCAGTATATCTTTTAAATAAAAGACTGAAATTGTACAATGGTTTATTTACACTTTACAGTAATATAAAGAACATCTTCAGTGACTACTAATGAGCTGTCAGAATTCTCACTGTCCTCTCTGGTGTCCCCACTCTCTCAGTCTGGAATATTTTCTTAACTGTTGGCTGGCCTGCACTACAGCAATAGAATGTACACAAACTGCATGTTTACTCCATGTCTAATCATCTATAGCTCAGTGTTTATTTACCGAAGATATGATAGAAAAAGCCTGGCTGATTTCGAAGTAAATGTGGCAGGAAATAAGTTAATTAGACCCCTCATTAGTGCAGATGACTGCTGGTAATGATTAGAATCGCCATGCTTCAAAGTGTAGTTACATGCAGGACTGCGGTCGGTGTTTGGCACAACTTGACACAAGTGGGCGATACTGCGTAACTTTTCAGCCTCGCTGGCGTGCCGGGGACGGTTTGCATGCTGGGGTTGGATTTTCTACGGGCCCGTCGGACTGCTTAGTTTTAGAAATGTCAGGCCCGAGCCTTAAAATACGTGCATCGGACCTGCGGGCCCCTTGTATGACTTCGACCATGTATACACATACATATATGTATATATATATATATCTTTATATATATATATATATATGGAGTGGCTATATATATACACGTATGTATGTATACATGTGTGCGTTTGCGTGCGTGCTGTAATACAATTTGTGAAGCTAACATCAACTAAATTTGACATACATATACATATGATATATATGTACATCTGCAGTTGTTGCCGAACGTCTTCATCTCCCTCGCAGGCGTGACAGGGTTCGGCTTCACGATCGCCGGCGAGGGGCCGTGCACGCTCAGCTACGTCGCGCCAGGTGGCGCCGCCGACGACGCCGGCCTGCGCCGCGGCGACCGCATCCTCGCTGTCGCCGACGCCGACGTCAGCGCAGCCTCTCACGACGACGTCGTGCGTCTCGTCGGATCCGCCGTCAACGCGCTGCGGCTGCACGTCGCCGAGAGGTCAGAGGTCGTGGAGGACGGACCTAGGGGGAAGCGGGCGGCGGCGCCGCGCGGTGGGGACGCGCGATCGGAAAGACAGCCGCTCGCCGACCGCAACCTGAACGAGGACGACGCGCACGGGAGGCGAGCGGGCTCGCAGGTAGTGATGAGAGAGAGAGAGAGAGGAGGGAGGAGGAAGGGGAAGAGAGAGCAAGAGGGGGGGGGCGTGCCCACACCTGTGATCTAGGAGCAGGAATGATTAAGATTTTAATCATGGGCCGTGCTGTAAGAGGGGACACAAAACAAACCACACTGGGCCGTCATTACAGGTTAGCTGACTTTACTGCTAGTGATGTCCCGATGATCAATTACAATCGAAAGTCAGTCGTTCGCAGCAACCGACTAAGCGCTCGATTATGGAAATTAAATAATCGATTATCCAAAAAAAGGCTTTAATTTAAATTTGCAAACATTGATGAAATGACTTCATTTTAGTTGTGTTTTTTTAGAACTTTACTTTTCTAACCTACACCAAACATATGCAAGTATAATACTGTTACATAGCTTTTAGAATATTGTATTTATAAAAAATACTGTATTATATTATATATTTCAATATCTGGTGGCTGCGATCAATAACATTCAACCGAGTATCATCGATCGGTCGGGTGAAACTGATGATCGATTTTGAAATTACAACCGATTCCCATCACTACTCGCAGGGTTATCGCTACAAGCACTTCGACTTCACGAGGCAGCGCGGCGCAGAGGGCCACGCATTCGGGAGAGGCAAGGAGAGTGACGCGCCCGGGAGAGGCAAGGACAGCGATGCGTCCAGGAGAGGCAAGGACGCTTCGAGATCGACTCGCGGCGACGCGGCACGGAGAGAAGAGGCGAGGGCGGCGCGCGGAGATTCGAGCCGCGGACGTCGCGACTCGTCAAGCGTTCGGCCGTTCGTCCCGCGGAACTCCCTCCTGCAGACGATCGGCTCCGGCGCAGCGGAGGAGGAGGAGGAGGCGAGGGAGAGCCCGGCGGGCGGGGGCAGCAGACAGGAGAGGAGCGTAGAGGGATTCTACAAGTGCAGGTCGAATAAAGCCGTTGTGGAACTCCTGCTAGAGCAACGCAACAACCAGCAGCAGCAGCATCATCAGCAGCATCATCAGCAGCAGCAGCAGCAGCCGATGGAGTGGGCGCCGTCGGGCGGCGATGGCCGCCAGGTGGCGTCGTGCTCGTCGCTGCCGACCGTCGATCTGTCCAGCGTCCTGGACTCCCGCACCTCTGACGCCTACGCTGGGTCGTACCGCGGATCTCTCCCCCGCGACCTCGCACCTCCCCATGACCTCCTCCTGTCCCGGGACCCTCTCCCTTCCCAGAATCCCGCCCCTCTGCCCCACGATCCCGTCCCTCCCCGCGACCTCCCTCTGCCCCGCGACCTCGCCCCTCTCCGCAACCTTGCCCCTCTCCGCGATCCCGTCCCTCCCCTCGACTCCGCCGCTCTCTCTGACCACGAGGTGGCGCTGAGCGTCGTGGTCGCCTACGTCGGCTCGGTGGACCTCCCTGCGACGAGCGACGGCGCGTGCCGGCCCGACGACCGCCTGCGCGCGGTGCGACACTGCGTGCAGCGGCTGCGGCGCGAGCGGCGCCCCCGACCGCGGGCAGCGTCGTCATGGAAGTATGCCGGCCGGCATAGGCCTGGCCGCTGCTTCGAGCCGTGCGAGCGCCGCGCCTGCTTCGTCGCCGCTCGTACCGTGCCCGGCGAAGCGGAGACCGCGGTTCTGGCGCGTGGTGCCGCCGACGACAAGAGGCGCTTCGTCGGCGTCCCTGGCAACGCTCCGGGCGGACGTGACGCGACGATGTGGGGGGGGGTGGCGCGTCGGGGGAGGGGGGGCGCTGGCGCACGTGTGTGTTTTGTGGTGCGGGGGTCGAGACGGGACGGGCGTGGGGGTGCGGGGTGGGCGCGGGCCCGCACGATCGGCCACGCCGCCGGGGGGGACGGGGAGGCGGGGCGGCGGGGCTCGGGGGCGGTGCGCGGTGCTCGTTGGGGGGCGCGGGCGGTGTGAGCGGGGTGAGTGGTGCGCGCTTCGGCCCTCGCGCTCGGGGCGAGTGCCTATCCTCGCGGGCCAGTCGCCACGCCTCTACAGCCAACGGGTGACGACGTCGCGAGTTCGTGCGCATGTCTCAGTCTCGAGTCGGCAGTCTCCGCGCACGAGCACAGAGGCCGTCGACCGGGCAGCTGGCAAACGCAATAAGCGCAGACTGCGTACACCGTGGATCGTCGGGGCCTTAGAGCGTTCGCGGTCGAGGCCCAGCAGATGCTAGCCAAGCCGAGTCCGCCGCAGGAGTCGAGACCTCTGACGGGAGGGCCAGCCGAGATGACGGACGAGGCAGAGGAGGCGGGCGGCGCACGACATCGAGTCGACCCCACGACTCCGTCACCTCCGAGGTCGCTGCCGCCACACGACTCACGCCGGAGGCAGAAGACGCGCGCGGCGTGGAGTCTCGCGCCACACCAGGTGGCGGACCGCAGGACGACAGATGTCCGGCAGCGGCGTCTTTGGTCCGCGTCCGCTTCACTTCCTGTGGCGGCCGTCGTCGCCCAGCCTGCCTGTCGTGAATCCGCAAAGCCGGACGCACGATCGATCGCCGGCTTCGACGTGAAGAAGTGTGAGCAAGAGCATCAGGTCTACAGACAGCAGCGGATGCATCGATACACTCGCAGCACTGCTACCTCCTTCGCCGCGGCGCGCGGGAACGGTCGCGCCGCGCCTCCAACAGGTGGCGCCGTTCCCGCCGCTCGTTCCGGGCGGCCGGCGGCGGCGGACGAACCGAACAGCGCGGAGAATCTTCGCTGCGAGCTTCGCAAGCTCGCGGAGACGCGCAAACGCCAGATGGCGCCACGCGCTCCGTCTCCCGTGAGAGCGGCGTCGGACGCCGGCGGGCCGGCAGCGAAGATGCAGTCACTAGCGCGTGCTGCGCGCAAGACGGGCCGTTGCAGATGGAAACGTGGAGCGCTCGAGGGAGGGTGTAGAGTCGCGAGCGAGGTGCGTATGGTACGCGTACGAACCGTGTGTGGCGCGAACGCTTACACAGCGCTTCTTAAACTGGTGAATGGTTCGCCCAACGCGTGAATGAAATCATTTTAGGGTGAATGAAACTTACCAAACATATAGGAAATTTAGTCACGGATGAATGAAATTTTGTGATAATGACTCGAGGGTGAATGACACTGAAGTAGTTTAAGAAACACTGCACTAGTAGAATGGATTCACGTCAATTTTCGTGTATTTTATCTCTTATAACAGGAATGTATCGCGATCGATGAGTGTGTGCATTTTTTTCGATGCGTGCATCTCTTTTTCTATGAAATCTCGATTTATATACATATTGGCAGTTTCGTTAAGTACTGTTTTAGCATTAAAAATGTCTGTTAATTATGCATTAATGATAAATAATGAGCTACAGATATGAACTTTGATTACAGGGGGAGGTGAAAATGGAGCTGACAGGAAATGAGAGTATGAGGGAGAGCTTCACGGACAATGCAACCACCATAGTTGGCAAGACATCGGTGGAGACTGATGGAACGAACGATGCTGTATCTTACATCCAGGACCTGTTAAGGTAACCAATTCTACAGTACGGGTGCAACCAGGGGTGTTAGCCAGGAAAAGGGAGTCTCACCATCTGAGCGAAGCGAGGATGCTGCGGGTGCGAAGCGCCTTAGGGGAAAAACCGACGATTTTATTTTCATGCAGGGGTAAAATTTTGGCCGCCCTCATGCCGTCTCTATCAAATTTCATTTGTCTCATCCAAGAATAGGCCGTTCAAAGACGGGTAGACGGGTCTATGGCTAACAGTAACACACTGGGTGAAACTAGTTATTAAAGCACTACTGTATTGCGTACTATATTCTATATTATACTATGCTATCTTCATAGTAATAATTAAGCTTAGTTTTGTTTGCAACTATGTTATTTCTTACCTTTCTTTAAAACTTAACATGTAGATGGCAGCAGCGTCCAACTTCAACAGCGTATTTCATTGCTAGCCGCATTCTAAGCAGAACTATTATATGTGTCGAAGCAGTGATTACCGATGGTAGCATTGTTGCTATAGCTATCTAGTACCTACTGTTTCTGTTTGATTTTAGTCTTAATATATATGTATATGTATATATATATTATATATATATATATTATACATATATATATATATTTATATTTGTTAACTATAAAGCCCAGGTGAAGCAAATGAGGAGTATGCTATACTGAGGAGAATTGAAAGAACCCAGTCCCTCAGGTTATCGTGCAATCGTTCCTGTGGGCTAATCGTAGTGTGTCACCTGATGTGTGCTATGAATATGATGTTTTATAATCTCAAATTAATTAAGTTCCCATCCCAACCATCTGGACAGGAAACGCCATGCCCACGTGCGTGTATGTGTGTGTGTGTGTGTGTGTGAGTGTGTGTGCGTGCGTGCGTGTGTGCGTGCGTACGTGCGTGTCTGTGTGTGTGTGTGTATGTATTATCACTGTTTTGCTGTTTCATGTTTTAAAAAGCTCCCATGTACAGACATGAACCACCATGAGCACACACAGCTTCACAGTAACTAGGTAGGATGTGGCAGCCACATAGGAAACAACTGGGTGTCCGTTGCATATCCTGCCTTGTGTTCCACTCGCTCGTCTGCCTGTCAAAAGGAAGTTGCATTCTCTACGTCACTCGGTGCTGTATCTCAGCTGAGGTGTAGCTTTCTGTGTGCGATGAGGATATAGAATTCGTCATGGCACGAACATGCTAAATGCGGTTTGATAGGAGAAGTCCTCAGATAGCGGCATATTGGGGAAACATCAGGCCAGACTTACTGAGAACGTGATCAGATGGAAACGTGTCACCTGTTGATTCGCAGCCGATTTTCAACCTGAATTCAGACAAGAGACTCATTGAGACAAGATTCATCTTTGATTAATTCAGACAACCCGCAACCAGACTAGCGAACCTTTTATATCGGTACATTTTCACGAGAAAACCCCCGAGAGTGTTCGTGTAAGAACCGAAACATTCGACGACTGCGAACCTTTAACATTGGTAGTTTTCGCGAGAAGCGCGTTCGTATAAGAACCGAAGCGTTCGGCGAGCGCGCCGCCGCGTGATGTGTCACGCGGGAGAGCGGTCGACGTAGATGGTTTCGACGCTGTGCGATGAAAGGCGGGGCCGCAGCACATTCTACATGTCATCCAGCTTCGTCAATATGCAGATGCCCGTCGTGCGGGTGAGTACGCACCGTCTCCCACACTGCAGTTAAACGATGACACTCGTTATCAAGTTACCAATGACAATCTCCATATCAAGTTAACGATGACAGTCATGGCAATCTCCCTAATACAGCCTTCGAAGTAAGGGTTCCCTACTACATAATATCCCTTGGTTAGTGTATCGCGTACCCCTTAATGATGTGACTCCCAAGTAATGCTACCATATCATATATCCCTTGATTGAAGGACAGCTTATCACCCAAGCCTTGATCACAATACGATACGAATCGCGATACAACCATCACGATACGATAGGTAATACCATTCAGCTTTTCACGATCATACGATCTGTATCATGATACAACCTTCAGGATATGATTCCTATCACGATACAGACTTCACAATACGGTATGTATCACACGATACTTCCTTCACAATACGATCCGTATCACGATACAGCCTTCACGATACGATCCGTATCACGATACAGCCTTCACGATACGATCCGTATCACGATACAAGCTCTTCACGATCGATCACGATACAGCTTCACGATACGATCGTATTACGATACAGCCTTCTCGATTACGATCCGTATTACGATACAGCCTTCACATACGATCCGTATTACGATACAGCCTTCACGATACGATCCGTATTACGATACAGCCTTCACGATACGATCCGTATTACATGCTTCGTCACAGTCCTTGAAAAGTCCTTGAATTTGAAAGGGGAGTCCTTGAAAAGTACTTAGATTTAGTAAATGTTGATTTTGTGCTTGAAAGTGCTTGAATTTTTAGAAAGAACCTTGCCTGTAATAAAAAGAAATTTTGTACCATCAATAATGTGCAAACCTCAATAGAAATTGCGTTAAATGATGATCACAAATTACAGTAAGTCAGTAAAATACAGTCAGTAAATCAAGGTTTGTTGTAGAAGTGACAGTGTTTAGAAGGGTTTATTTAATGTGATCCAGGTAAGTTATAGAGGTGACATGCAGTGATTAAGAATGGGGTTATTAAATTAATCCAGTATGTTTTGTTCTGTGTATGAATTCCGATAAAATGTCTGATAAAATGTCCTTGAAAAGTCCTTGGAAAAAATTTCAGTCCTCTCGTATGAACCATGTATTACGATAGAGCCCTTCAAGGTATCATCCTATCACGATACAACCTTCACGATATAATACGTATCACGATACAGCCTTTACGATAAGATCCGTATCATGATCCAGACTTCAGATATAATCCCTATCACGATACAGACTTCACAATACGATATACATGTATCACACGATATGTTACAGCTTTCACGATTATGATCCCTATCACGATACAGCCAATATCGCCTGTCTCGGCTATGGCTATGTGTGTATGCAGGGTTAAAAATGTTCTTTTTTACCAGACAGCAAGTACTTGCTGCCAGAGAAAAGGGTAGCAGTAGATTATTTTACTCACCCAGATCGAATCTTTGGTGCTTTTACTATTGTTTATTTGGGAATTTTTAGCAGCAAATAATTGCCACGTTGAGAGCAGGCGGCAACTGACCTTGTTGGCAGCAAATTTGCTGCTTGCTGCCCCTAATGTCGAACCCTGTAAAGTTGTAAACTGACCCTTGTTGGCAACAACACTGCAGCTTGCAATCCTTAATTTCGGACCCGGCATACGTACACTGTGTGTGTGTGTTGTGCAACCTCGTCTGGTCAACGTGTCAAATGTGTAATGTGCGTGGGTTAGCGTTTCAACGCTTCAGTTTCGTGCATCCTGTCTGGTGCCTTATATACACCAAGTAGGAATATATATAGTCTATAGCCTTATAAGTAGGGATGGGCCGATAGTAGGTATATCTCACAATACCATCCGTATCACGATTCAGCCTTCACATCGCGAAACGTACCACGATACAATATTCACATTACGAAACGTATTGCGATACTTGAAAAAGTAATTACTCGAAAGAAGAAATTTAAACAAAAAATTAAATTAAGCTTAAAAAATTACTTACTCAAGAGAAAACTATGTACTATACACACACACGCCGAGACACTATAGCCTGTGCCGCAAAGTCGTAAATAATGCTTCATCGTATTTTGTCATAGTAGGTTGAGCACGCTCTAACCTTGTTGGGTCGTATATAATCAAGTGCTAATAATACCTGTGTTGTGTGTAATACCTGATATGTATTATTAGCTCTTGATATTATATTGGTGTAATTATAAATCACGTAAAATCTAATGACATTTCTCATGGGTCATCATAATGTGAATTAGTCTGTCAGATGCAGCTGGAATGTTTACAATCTTTCAAGAGTTTTTACTTTTCAGAAGAGTATACTTCAGAGATTTTTATTCTTCTTATATTTTTCTTTTTGCCTCTAACGAAATTCTCTATAGTATTGTTTACATCGTGGTGAATGTGTTGTATACAAGTGTTTATACTATGTCGCGCATGCGATTACAATTAACGATTAATTTAATGGTATTAATGACGTTCGTTAGATAACTAACAAGGAGTTTTGTTCCGGCGTTATACATCTGCTGGGAAGAATTATGCTGCTATGCTAAGTAGAAACGCATGTGTGATTATAAAAAAAATTCTTATTGTGGTAATTGAAATTAATTGATTACCTTCATTCAGTAAAAGCATTATATTAGCATACTTACTAGTGAATGTATGCCTGTGTATATGCCATATGCCTTAGCTGCTTGCTGAGTGTGGTATTGATTCTTTAATTTATTCTGGATCATTGCGAGTACATACTCCAGAATGAGCCCACGTCTCATTATTGTAGTTTCGTGATTGAATACTAAATTACTGTTTGAGACATTACCATATTTAACAGACCTGTCAGCTAAACGAGCCACGTGTGACTTTAAATATTCGCTAATGGCGGTCGTGGGCGGGGGCTGAGCGTGCGACGTTTGTCGCATATTGATAAGGGGGTCGGTGTTTTCACAGTCCCCTCCCCCCAACCCGTGACCGTTGAGAAAGCGTTTATTGTTGCAAGCTGTACCCTCGCACTGCCCTGATGCAGGTGTAGTGAGGTGTGACTCTGAATCAGATATTAATATACCTGTAATGTCTACCTTCGGCGCTAACTCTACTCAACGACGTATAACTATTGCGCCATAATGGTTAGTGAATATGATTGGATCATCGTTGCTGTCGGCACGTGCCGGTGGATGCATTCGTAGAGAGGAAATGATGAGCCGTAATCTATCTACAACTATGTGCGATAAATTATATGATTTAATCATCGTTGCTGTGCCGGCTATTGTTGTGTTTCTTGTGCCGGTGGTTGCGCTCAAAAGAGAGAGAGAGAGCGAGGAGTGTGTGAGAGCGAGAAAGAGAGAGAGGCGTGGAGGATACTTCCACACCAGCCTGTAACGACAGGATGTGCGCGCCGCACGCGATATTAATTGCAACAATAGCCGCCTATGTGCACCGGCTCTCTCCGGATAACACCACTAATTATGCACCTCTCATCGCGGCAACGGGCTGAAACTCTCACAAATTTACGACTCTCTTCCTCTCTCTCTCTTTCTCTCTCTCTCTCTCTCTTCTCTCTTCCTCTATCTCTTCTCTCTCTCTCTCTCTCTCTCTCTCTCTCTCATCTCTCTCTCTCTCTTCTCTCTCTCTTCTCTCTCTCTTCTCTCTCTCTCTCTCTTTCTCTTCTTCTTCTCTCTCGTCTTCTCTCTCTCTCTCTCTCTCTCTCTCTTTCTCTCTCCTCTCTTCTTCTTTCTCTCTCTCTTCTCTCCTCTCTCTTCTTCTCTCTCTCTCTCTCTCGCGCGCTTTTCTCTCTCTCTCTCTCTCTTCTCTCTCTCTCTCTCTCTCTCTCTCTCTCTCTCTCTTTCTCTAGCTCTCTCTCTCTCTCTGCTCTCTCTCTCGCTCTCTCTCGCTCTTTCTCTCTCTCTTCTCGCTCTCTCCTCTCTCTCTCTTTCTTTCTCTAGCTCTCTCTATCTATCTCTCGCACTCTCTCTCTCTCTCTCTCTTCTCTCTCTCTCTCTCTCTCTCTCTCTCTCTCGCTCTCTTCTCGCCTCTTCCTCTCTCTTTCTCTCTCGCTCGCTCTCTCTCTCTCTCTCTTCTCTCTCTCTCTCTCTGCTCTATTATCTCTCCGCTCTCTCTCTCGCCCCCCCCTCTCTCTCTCTTCTTCTCGCTCTTTTTTTCTATTTCTCTCGCCTCTTCTCTCTATCTCGCTCTCTTCTCTTTCTTCGCCCTCTTTCTCTCTATCTCGTTTTTTCTCTCTCTCTCTCCTCTATCTCC